ACCAAACCATTCATTACATGTTAGCTCTGTGATCAGCAAGTAAGCACTAACTATTTAATTAGTCAACTAATTAGTGACAGGCAACATGGAAGGCTTCAGATGTTCTCAGACAAATGCAAAGATAAAAAGCCTAATTAAACAGCAAGCATTATGCTAACTATTGCCAAACAGGACAGATGTGCAGGATATTGTATAATACTGCGCTGCCAGATAACAGCAGTTGTAGCTGTTCTGTCAGACACTGTGGTTTAAAAATCCCTGCCATTTCTACACTCATCTTAGATAACTTTAACTCACACAGGGCAAAACCAACCAGCAGATAAAATCTCAGATTTACTGTGTTAGATTCTAATTCTACTCTAAAAGTTCAGGGATTTGACAAAAATATACTTTAATCCATTTGCTTTTTCAATGCAATAACTGTTTCAATGCACCCAAATGGAAAGGGAAATATATATCACAACATTTTCATACAAAATATTGTGATCTTAGCCACCATCCATTTATTGCTATTTTGTGTAGCACATTATGTGTATTTCCAATGTCCTCAGAGAAACAGTCATTGTTTATACCACTGGTTGGATTAAGGAGGTTTTCAAAATCATGGATTAAAAAGGGTTTTCCCTATAATCAGAAGACAATAATGCTTTCCACAGCTATATGCAAAGAGGTGGATAAAAAGCTAATTGGTTCACTACACTGGAACCAATGACAAGATACTGCTGTGAGCAAGCTTTTTGCGTTCTTGCAGCCAAACTTCAATCACATGCTGTCAGGGCATACTAGGTTAGCATGCTGATCTGTGAATCAGCCACCAGAATAAACTGAAAATGCTCTTTTTAAAAATTGTGTGTTCTTCTGGCCTAATGCTGCTGCCATGACCATCATTCTTAAATTACCAAAGAAAACAAGAAGAAACAAAAAAATCGCTGCCCTCATGCTAAATTAGTATTTAGTGATGAAGTTCTTTTTTAAAGCATCTCAGTACTTTGGAATATGAAAAGACTGAAACACTGGGCTATAGCTTTCATTCACCAGGATATATGTTTAGGGGACTATGTGACTCAGTATCCTCAATTCTAGCTGTTCACAGGCTTTTAAATACATTATTTAACTGCAGTTAATGCTTTTCCTGCTGCACCTCACCTCCAAGAACTGATATTTGCAGAACTCTGAACTGAATTAATTACTCTTTTTCTCATATTCATAGCTACTGATCTTCTATAATAATGAAAACATATTTTACAGTTGCAGATGATTTTCAGATACAATATTCATTGAATGCTTACAAGTTTGAATATTTAAAACAGTGCTTGCATTTATAAATTTAGTATACACACATTTGATCTTAGTGGAGATAAAAAAAAAAAAAAAAAGGGAACTTTCAAAAAACTTCCTTTGGTCTTGTATCAGATTCCTTTTCCGGATCTTCATTCATGATAATTTGTCAATGTTAGTGGCTCATAGTTCTGACAGTGTAAGTGGTGGCATACACATATTTACCAGAAGGTCCGATAAATCTCTTTTCCTTCCCCTATCCCCCCCACACTCCTAAGACCAAGTCACTCAAGGGAAAATAAAAATAAATAAAACCTGCATTTTAGCTTAACCTCTCCTTGGAGTTTCTTCAACTTGATTCACTGGGACGCTGAAAGGGTTTTCTCCCCACACCCCACAACAAAGGGGAGGCAGGAGCGCCAGCCAGCTCTAACAGTTTGGAGGGCAGAGAACAATAGAGGCTGGGACTCCTTGTTTCTGGGCTGAGCTGTTTTTTCACGACGAGGGTATTTTTTCTGTTACAACTTCTCCTTGCTGGACTGGACCTCACTCAGAGCTTAGACCACTTCCACAAATGGGCTGATGCTGCTGCAAGTTGTATAAGCCTTGGTGTGGTGCTTGAGAGTGACCCAAGTCCTGGCTTTGTACAAGGGGAAGCATATAATTGCGCTGCCCAGGAGGAGACTCATGCAGGAATTGTGGGAATTGCAATTCCTTCCCTGCTTGCCATGCTCCTGCAGGGAAGTTAATTACTCCAGCAATTTATGATGCAACTCGGTTCCCCCCTTCCCCAGCGTCTCAGCTCTGCTGCCCAGCTCATTGCTGCTCCTCATGTATAGGGCTCAGGAGCTGCTTTTGCACCTCTACCTACCGGGGGCAGGGAGGCCGGGCAGGGAGGCTGGGATGTGCAGGGACAGGGAGGCCAGGCCATGCAGGGGCAGGAAGGCCGGGCTCTGCCCTCATTTCTGCCAGCACTTGCTGGTTTCTTGAATAAAAATTCATGCGTATATCCTAGAGAAAAGTAGCACTACACCTGGAGCATGTCTCCATGTGATTACACTCCAAGAAAAAAAAACCAACAAAAAGTAGGAGATATTTATTTGAATGGTGAAACATGAATAATGAGTTCACCTTCACTGACCTAGTAACAGATTAAGCACAACGGATGCAATTCTCCAGGGCTCAGAGTACCCCGAGCGTTAGGAAGAGGCTTCCCCTACTGGCAGGTCATTCCACAGACTCATTTTCAGCATGTCTGCACTGCCCTTTGAAACACTGAGTTGGGTAGACCAGTGGTCTAGCCTTTGCAACCATCTGTTTCCAGAAACCCCCAACAGCAAGGAACGAGAACAACTTCTTCCCCAGGAGCCTCTGGCACGGGGGCCCTGCTGGAATCGCAGCGCTGCTGCTGCCCCAGCACACTGGCAGCCAGAGAGGCAGGCAGCTCTCCAGCCAGGAGAGGCAATGCTCATGATTGTTTCTCTGCTCAATGAAAAATGTATTTCTTCAGTCTCAAACAAGTTGAAAACACTTGTAAAATCTAGTACTAATAATTGTTATGTAGGTAAGTGAATTACGGTTGCGTGTTTCCATGGTGACCGATAATGTAAAATAATTAAGTACAAAGAATAATGAGGAGAAAACTACTTCCTCTTTTTAAGGATTAGGGGCTTACAAATTGATTCAATCTAGCTATTTTTAGTGCATGTAACCTTTGCAAAGAATGTTAGAAAATGATGAGTAAATTAAACTAAATTGTATTAAAAGGCCTTCACATTGATCAGGGGACTATCTGCTGATGATGTGAAAATTAGAAAAAATCTTCTTTAAATTTATACATAAATATTAATTCTGTGACATTTTGCACTACTTGCTGACTTGCTTGCTTTTTGCCTTCTCAGAGCAATCAATACTCTATTTCTCTTAAGCAGGAGCACTCTTTTTGTGCAGTGCTGAGGACAAGCACTCTCCTGTGTACAAGAAGGACATGTTCTGTGAGAACTCTTCACTAGAATATGGTTCAAACAGAACTGTCTGAAAAGTCTTGGTTGAGGTGTCTCAGAGGAGGATACCTGTAACAGATGGTCCCGTAGACATGGTATCTGTACATCCTGCTAACTACAGACAGACTTGGCTGGAGGATAAATAGGCTTTGTTTTTCCTTCACAGTATTTTATACTGAAAGCATAGTCATAAACAGCAGAGGATGAATATCAATAAAGTAGCTAATAGCTCTAAAGTACATATTTAACTTAATTTGGAGTGGAACTGAAAGCCTAAAAGGTGCTCAGAAAGGATGAGAGGAAAATTATTTTACCCCAAGAAGGGATGCTCTACAGGAAGTCATGATCTAAGAAAAAGAGCAAGCAGCAGGTGTTTGTTGGTTTTTTTTCACTGCTCCAGCAATGAAACAACATTCATAAAGCACTTCAACTTTTTCTTCTCTTGACATGTGGATATTTTAATTTGTGGTGTTACTAATGGTTTTTGTAGAAATGCAAACTCTTGGCTTAACTGAAAAAAAAATAAATCAGTTCTCTGCCAGCCACAAAAATGCTAGCCTCCCTTAGCTTTTGCAATGAACATTTTGTTGTAACAATCACAAAGAAAATTTGAATTTTATATTAATTTCTGCAAGTCTTTGAGGGGATTTCTAGTATGTATGTTTAATCTATGAGGAAAGTAACAAGTTCATAAAAGGAACTGAATTGCTACATGCACAGTCTGACTTCCTGAGAACCCTCTAAAATTGGTATGGAGGGGGTACTGGCATAGAAAGTGCAAGCAGTGAGATACCAGCCAGAGAGCACCCCTGTCCTAACTCTGCAAAGTCTGCAAACAGCAGAACTTGTCCACAAGTTTATTCTGGCTTAGAAAGCGGAAGGTATATAAACAGTTGCATAAGTATATTTATTCCTCTTCTCAACCAGCTTATACAGTTTATTTACTCCAGTTTGGATAACTCAAAGTAACCACAGCAATTTTATTTTATTTTATTTATTTTTTTTTCAGTTTTACTGCTGAAAATTCTTTAAGGTATGCTGATGGCCTGTGCTCTTGGTGGGCCACCTTGTAGGCTGTGGCTGCTGGACAGCTGGGTCCTCTGCTACACCTTTCCTACACCCACTCTAAGGTCTGCAGCAAAATGGCAGAAAAGCCAGAAAGGACAATTTTTAGGTTCCTGAACATCAAAAGCCTTATCGGAATCAAAGGTATCAAATGGTGTTATCAGAATCAGAAGAATCATAGTGAGATTACAACTCAATGAGCTTATGTCGTACATTTCTGTGCAGCTCAGAAAACACAGCATGACAAAGAGGCAAGAGAAGAGAGGGATTCAGACAGGGATTTGGTGATCCCACTGGGCACAACTAGCTTTAAAGATCAATACTGCTTTGGAGCACACATCAAGGGCCATGGACTTAACCTCCACTTATAGGATTTTTGTATAAGAACAATGGTCAAAGAGATTGTAAGTATGTGGCATTCTCATTTTCAGTGAGCCTTCTCCTTGAGGATCTTGAGCAACTTTGTCAGCACTTTAGTTCCAGTGTCAGCCAGGATGGAAGCACCTATCCCTTTCCCTCTGCAGACACTTCCAACTTTTAACATCTAGAACTTGGATACAGACTCAAAGCACACATCTAAATGGAGGAAGCCAGCCCCTTCAAACAAAAGGTAGTATATTGCTTTCAATAAAGGAAATAAAATTTAAAACTTACTGAAAAATGAGCGTTTCCAGGAAAGCGATTCCAACATCAGATGCACCAACCACCACAATTCTACTGTTGATAGATACTTTAGATTCCAGGAGCAGCTTTCGATTTATGTGGTTCAAAGAATAGCCCAACTACAAAAAAAACAAACAACAAATGACACCAAAATGCTGTTAAAAAACCCAACAAAAGCCTGCTAAGAATCATTAAGCCATCAGTAATGCATTACCTTGCATTCATACAAAACTTACTGTGGCTCACTGACATGATTTTTTTGTGCACACCACAAGGTAACTCAGTGCATAAATGGTACTAAGATGTTGAAACAATATGCATGCTTAATAGGTCACAGAAAATTAGCAGAGCTTAATGGTCTGACTTCTGGAAAAGATGCTGTGGGATTCCTTGTAAGAGAGAACACTCTGCCTCTTCTGTAATGTACTACCACTTAGCTAGCACCTGAGAAACATTTCAGTAACATTACTGTCATTTTTGTACCTTCTAGGATGGTTTTTCATATTGCTGTTTTATTTATGGAAATGGTTTAGCTTGTAAATTAATTAGGAACTTATATTTTGAGTGTCTTTGTGTATATAATTGAAAACTGCCTTTCAAAGTGACAGAATTAACTTTTTTTTTTTTTTATTAAATACCAAACGGCTACACTGAAAGCCAGGCTGTCAAATGGATAAATTAGTATCTCAATGCCACTGAGATCAATACTCTGACCAAAAACCTTACTATAAAATTTTTAATTATTAGCTTATCACTTTCCATTCTTCTTACTGCATACACTAAGACAATAAAATCCCATGCATTTTTTAAAAATTTGTGTCTCTAGGTCTCACTAGCTAACAGAGAGACTCAAAACAGCTATGCAAGAAAGGGTCAAGAGATAATATTGCATTTGGCATTTTTTTTCCTGCCCTGAGTTACAATCACCTTTCAAATGTCTAATGAAAGACAGGGAAATACTTTCCATCTTGCAGTACCACACACTTAACTTTTTTTTTTAAATTGCTTTGGGTTGTATTCATTCAAATTTCACTGAATGTATAATGGCAGATTCATAAATGCACTGAAGAAACAATAGAAAATGGAGCTACTTTTATTATTTGTCAGACACTTCTATAAATGTCTGTTCTGTCATTTAGGCAGGAAGCAACCCAAGACTTCTAACAGGTTTTCCTCTATTATGAATAGAAGACAGAGGGTTAATAAAACTAAGTCCTCTAAATTCCTCCTATGAAATTACAGTACGAATATATTCTCTATATATTAGTTGACAGAATAACTAAATACATGAAGAATAATTATTTTATTTTAAAGCTATGGTAATGACATTGGCCCTCTCAAGAAGTACATGGAACACTGAGATCTCCAAGACATCTTTTATACCACATCTTTGCAGTGGTGGAGACCCACAGCTGAGATTTCAGCCTAGCCTTACCACAGAAGGTAGAGGAATGTCTGCATAACACACTAGAGTGCTGTCCTGTTCCTCAAGGAGGGATTATGGACCAATTATTTGCAAACTGCCAGCACAGTACAGGAAGTAATGCAAAATGAAGAAAACTTAATGTCTTCTGTGGTCAGCTGACATTATTTTTTACTGCCAGACAAATGTTCTTCTGGTTGCAGTTCATCACAGTGCAATGATGACATCCAGTGGTGAGCCAGATTCATCTCAGGGACTGGACTGCACTAAGAAAATTCCAGAAGATATCTTTAAAAGTATAATAGCCCGTGGTGGCTGCTTAATGTTTGCTTAATGGAGTCAAACCTGTGAAACCTAGCATGTGCCCACAGTCTTGCAGGCAGCCCTGTACCAACGACCTTGAGTGGCCAGGGCTAAGCCACAGAACAACTGGAATACTGCCCAAATGGTTGTTGCTGGTTGCTAGAGATCTTAAGAAATGAGAAGGACCGTGCTGATTATTAAAGGCATGCCCCACTGCCTAAAATAAAAATTGAGCTCTGTTTTTTATAACATACTAAATGGGTATACCCCAACTACAACATTTGACATTGTTCTGCAAGTGCTGGCACTTGTGGAGAGCTCATGGTACCACAGAGGCCTTGAGGATACTGCACTTAACCCTGGCATCCATATCCTTGGGATTGTGAAATCTGCAGACAAGAACTCTGACAGGCTTTTATTTTTTAGCTGCACAAAGAGAGTTGCAACATTCTACGAAAGTAATGCCTCCTGGAGGAAAAAAAATTATTAGTGATGTTTTTGCTGAAATGTGGCTTTTAACAAAACTAATAAAATGGTAAAAAGAACACAGAAAGAAACTACTTGTAAGTACCTAATCAACCAAAATAACTAGACAGGAATGTCAGCAGCTAATAGGATAAACACAATAGACCTTACAGCGATGATGAGTTCAAACATCTATGGTTGTGCTGTGCTGCTGTGTTTTGTTTTTCTTTTTAAATGTACTCCCAACAACAAAACACAAAGCAGTAATACAATTTCCTAGGGAAGAGTTGTATCTAATTTCTGAAATGGCTTCTGTATCAATGACACAAAGGCAGCATAGGAGTAGAATATAACCGGTTTTGTTTGCCACACAATGGCCCCAACACCAACAGCTGTCATGCTTCAGAAATCACCTTTCTCACAGCTAAGTACACTAAATGGCCCCAGGGAGTAAGGAATTAGGTGGATTGGTCCCATAATACCACCTTATTTTAACAAAATGTCAGGACAAATGACGACATATGTTCCCCAGAGGAGTAATCAGACATCATAATTGATAGGTCAATAGCAAACTCTAACTTGTTTATTTTGTATCTAATTTATTAAATAAATCAGCAATCATTAACTAATATAAGGCAAAAAGCAATAACTGCCATTGATAGAACAAGCATATCTAGCTCAGAAAAAAGAAGTGCTTCTTTGATTATCAAGAAGGTTATTTCCCTCCTTTCCACTCCAGCACCTGACAGCCTCTGCCATTGCACCACCTGTCACATTCCTTCCACTATTCACGCTTTCCTCCAGCTGCTGACCATGGGGTGGCCTCTCTTGAAGAAACCATGGGGGGTGTTTTTTCATGTGGACAGCCAGTGACATCCACTTAGAGGCCTTCAAATTCACCTCCACTAAAAATGCTTATGCATTTCTCAGAATACTCCACTGAGAACACAAACCTTATATGTAAATCATGTCTTTATTTAGGAACTCACAGCACAGTGTGTGCCAGAGTAGGATTAATTTATAGCATTAAAAATTCACACATCCTTCTACCCTAAGTAACCAATGGAAAAAGAGACATGAAATAAGCATTTGGCTTTAGCAAACCCATTTGTATGCATTGTTTCAAACCAGGTAAACCATCCTCCATTCATTGTGCATGCCTGGATCTCCCAGCTGGGCAGCCACTCGTTTGCATATTGCCTGGGAATGCATTCATTGTACATTTACTCAGCAATATATATTGGTGGTACAAACTCAGATGGAGAATGTTTTGTAGCTTCTTTTAGGTTTGTTTTTAAACACTGGACCTCAGCTATTTGTAGGATTTCTAAATATATTTATTGTAATTGTTCTATATCATGTCTAATTTTATAGCAAATGTTGCCTTCATTTAAACAGAAAACAAATGGAAAACACAACCTCCCAAAATGAAAAACCTTACTGGACAGAGTAGTCCAACTTCGACAGAGAAGAAGCAGTGAGATGTTCTAAATTGGGTACTGGTAAATGCAACCTAGTAACACATTAGCAGTGGGTCAGGAAGCTGCTATACTCATCACTGGAACCCATCATGCAAACACTCTGTAATGCTGCAGAATTTAGACTTGAATTTATTGCACACTAAGGACTTGAGCCTTATCCAGCTAAACACCTAAACACCTATGTGTTTACTAAATTCTAAGTATGTTAAAGTGCCCCTGAATTCAGAAGGACAGTGCAGGGTACTACTAAAAGATAAACATGGGACTGATGCATTTGTCATGTACTCACCATCTTCACAGATCCCTCATTACTACAGGCAGTAACAGGGAGCACCTGGAGGGACCCTCCTAGCCCTATTGTGGGGAATTCTAAGCATGTCTGCAATGCTTTTGTTTTAATTTAACATTTGTAACTGACAAACCTGAGTGATAGTTACTGCTGTACAGGATCTACATAATTCCAACTATTACTGTAAACACCATCAGGAGTAAAAATTATTAACAAACCTGTTCCTAGAGTAGTGCTGAGGTCAGCAATAGTGACAGGCAAACAAGAAGGTGAGCAAACAGAGATATTTTAATTTCAAGCTCCATTTGAATCACAAGAAAAATAGAAAAATCAATGTTTACCAAGAAGATATAAAAAAAAATTGGAAAATGCAAGCTTCTTCAGCCTGCATTATTTTTTTTTCCTATATACCAGCTACATTATAAAAAGTCTCATTAGGAATGTCTCTAAAGATGTTTTGAAGAGCTGTTTCCAAGCATTCACAGCTTTATACAAACACCAGAAACAGAGGGAAAAAGAAATAAAACTGTGTTGAACACTGCTGCCTGAATTTTGTCATCTTCATCAAAGAATACTTCTTTAGTAACTGTGGATCTGCAAAAGCAGTTTAAACAGATAATACCTAGCCTTTATGTAATATTTTTAATCCATAGACCTCCAAGCCCCTTATGAATGAAGTCAATATTCTGATACCAAACTTCATATGGGTAAATCCTGATCTTCCACTTCTGGAAAAACAGTCTAAGTATTTATGACCAACTACTATCCCAAAAGGTATTCTTGGAGGGAGGGGGAAGCAGGTAGTAAAGAGATATATATATTTTTTTTCCAAGATTAAAAAAAAATAATACAATCATGCAGCAACATTTAGGCACTTCAGCCTGAAATACCTTCCAGATATTACCTAGCAAGGCTCCTAAGATAAACATGAAAAGAAATACAGAAGAAATGGAGCTGGATGGCTCTCAGTTCTGTATGTCAAATGTACACAAACCATCCTAGGCCCATTACACCTGACACCAAGCAGCTAGGCTGATTTACTCACAGAGACGATCTAGCTGTGCCCAAAGACACAACAGCAAAACAGGAGCTTGCAATAATCACCTGGTGTCTATTAATGAAATGCCAAAAGATTTTCTCCTTGTCTTGCTTTTCAGA